GCTGAGCATCCCTCGGAGCACTCAATAGCAGAGCACCTCATACTCTGGATTTGTCCATTGGGTGAGGTAAGTGGGCGAATCCTTTGTCCTGGGCTGTCCCCATACCTCCTCACTTGCTGTCGTGCCCAGCTCTGCTCCCAGCACACTGAAGTCATTCACCTGCAGCTCCCGCAGGCAGCACTGGATGTGGTGCAGGACCCCTGGGACCCCACGTTGGTGCTGCTGGAGGCCAGGCACAGTGCTTGGGGACGGGGAAGAGACAGAATTTCTGTACACCTGTGTCATGGCTCAACCCAGGTTTGGAAGGATCAGGAGGGGGTGGCCAGGCTGGGTCCCACACACACATCTCTGCATCCCGCAGGGCTCTGGCTGGGGTCGGTGGCTCCTTCAGGGCTCTTGGGGCTGCCAGCTCTTCCAGGTGATATTTCTGACAAACGGCCCCATTCACCTGCAGTCCACATACAGGGTCACCCATAGGGTCTCAGGCACCAAGCCACCAACACCCCATGCCCCAACTCCACCCCTGACCTTCTCCAGGCTCTTCTGCAGCTGCTGGATTGCAGCCATCCTCTCCTTCTGCAGCACTGCCCGCAGCTGCCCCAGGGCCTCCTGCCTCTGCCGCAGCATGGAGCACATCTGGAGCTCCAGCCCACAGAGCTTCTGCAGGAAAGGTGTCACATCCCTGTGCCAGCAAGGCTCATCCCTCGAGTGCAGGCTGTGTCACTACCCAGCTCCCCACTGCACCTGGGGCACTGGCCTCCCTCCTGAGGCTCTGTAGAGAACCAAGGACCCCCAGCCATGCCCACGCACAGCCAGAGCAGAGCACTCCTTTTCCCCACAAATACCACATATTTCAGCTCACTGCTCTGAGAGCTATGAGTGCACTATTTCTGCAGGTGCCCAAAGTCAGGCTGCATGGGGCCCTGGGCAGCTTGATCTGGTGGTGGGCAACCAGCTGAGGGCAGGGATTGGGGCTGGGGGGGCTGTAAGAGCCCTTCCAACCCAATTGTGCTGTGATTGTGATTCTACAATTAAAGCCTTCCCACAGGCTTTAGGAGTTCACTCATACCACAAAATGGGACACTCAGTGGCTGGGTGAGAGCCTTGCACTGCCAAGGGACGCATCCCTCCCATACAGCCCCCACCCACAGCACCCCTGTTGGGCACCAACCTCCTGCAGCTCCCGCTTCTCTTCTCTGAGATCCAGCATTTTCCTCCTCACGTTCCCTGGGCATCCAGCACAGCCCTTCTGCTCCTGCTGAGACAAGGACCCCCCTTCCGCCTCCCTCCTGTTCCTCCCTCCTTTCTTATGGCACGGCCAGCCCAGTCCCTGCCCTGCTGCCCCCCAACCTGTCCCTCTGAAACCCCCCTCCCTTCGCCCATCTCAGAGTGCTCACCACTTTCTCCACACGATCCCACGCACGTGCCCTGCAGAAAGGAGAGCATCACCCAGTGGGACACCCCAGAACTCCCTCGTTGCCCATAGAACCCCAGAGCAGGGTCACGGCACACACCTGACCCCATCCCCATCGCTCTGCATGCCCCAATCTCCAGCTCCTGGCTCCTGCATCCCCTCCTGGCTGCTCCTCAGGGCCCGGCGCAGTGCTGCCAGCTGGAGGGAGCAGGATGGACAAGGGTGGATGGCACCAATCCATCAAGCCTTGGGCATTGTTGCCATGTTCAGCTGGCACTTATGCAGCTAATTAACTTGACGAAGGCAATGACTTTTACAAACTGGTTTTGAACAGTCGCCCCTATGCTGGAGGGTTTTTCTTCAGGATTTCATTTGTAATTGATTTCTTTGATAAATGTCCCCATGCTGACAGCCTTTCCATGGCCATTGTAGGGTCTGGAAGAGGTCCCGTGTGGGACCCAGGGACCCTCCGTAAGGGGACAGCCACCCCACCATGCCCATCCACACGCACCCTGTGGGACAGGACGGCCTTCTGCTTCCAGTACTGCCAGCGGGGCTCTGCTGCAAGCCCTGGGCAGGACACCCCATGCTGCCTCTCTGCCCGGGGGCTGCATCTCCCAGCAGGTTCCACTGCTGCTTTGGTGCCTGTAAGAGAGGGCTGGGGACACCACAAACCCACCAACAAGTGAGACTGACCCTGGGCTGCCCACCCTCGCTGCCACATGGCCCCACCATCACCCAGCCCCAGGAGGGTCCCCAGCCCCACCAAGCCCCCTGTGATCCCTCCTGGTCGCCTGCTTCAGCTCCAGCACCCTGAGGCCAGCAGCACACTCACAGAGAGCTCTCCTCCTCCCATCACCATTTCCTTCCTTCTCCGCAGTGAGGATGACATCCCCTCCATGCCTCCCCCGTTGTGCTGGTAGCTCCTGCCATCTGCGATGTCCCATGGCCCTGGCCCTGCTCCTGCTGGTTGAGTTGCTTGAGGGTCTCCGGAGATGTCCAGCGTCCCCATCCCCACCATGCAGAGAGGTGACTGAGGGCTTTGCCTTGGAGCGTGGTCCCCAGTGGGATGCATCCCCCCTCCCCTGTGCTGGGTGCTTGGAGGTGGCCGGGCAGGGGGTCTCAGCCCCACTCTGGCTCAGCCTAGATATCCTGGCTCCCAGCGACTCCAGGCTCCCCCTCCTCATCAGCTGTGGGGACACATCCTGCCAGGGACACAGACATGGGAGCGGGGCCCCATCCTGCCCACTGCCATCATCCTCCTCCTCATAGATCCCCACTGTGCCCTCCCAACACCTGGCAGCCACATCCTCGGTGCAGACAGAGCTGGAGCTGCTCCTGCTGCCCCACCGTGACCCCCAGCAGCTTCGCACTCCACGTTCCACCAGCCCTGTGCGGGGAGCAACAGGTCTGGAGCCCCCCAAGCTGGGATCTGCAGCCAGAGCTCTGCCCTCAGCTGGAGCTCCTGCCAAAATGCAAACAGAGCAGGAGTCACTGTGTGGGCTTTGGGTAGAGCAATTTATCCCATAGCACAACAGCACAGCATGGCAATAAAGGCACAGGGGCAGGATGCTGCATGCTCCACTGCTGCAGCAAGGAACGTCCACCTGATGTGAGCCCTACATGAGCTCTGCTCTCCACCGCTCACCATTTTGCCCTCTGTGTTGCACTGTCCCTTTATTTAAATGGGGACAGCTGGAGGATGCTGCGTGCACAGACCAAGTGAAGCTCCCCATCCCCACTCACCAGCCATCCCACGGACACTGACAGTGTCAGGAGAGGCACTGCAGGCTCTGCCACGTGTCCCAGCACTGCGCTGCTGCAGGGAGGATACGGATGGAGCGCCCCAGATCGCAGGGTTCTGCTCCAGAAGGCTCAAGGTCCTCATTACGCTTCAGAGTGAACGTCCCAAGCAGGATGCAGCAGGGCTCAGCTGTGTGATGGCTGGGGGGCGCACAGTGGCACCTCCCTGGTAAAAGACAAGAGGTCAGCAAGCTCAATGCAGCCCGGAGCTGCTCGGCACGCTGTTGTCTGTCACCTGGCAACTTTGTGGTGTCCTGGCCAGTCCCAGCCTGCCTCCCCTGGGCCTCCTCCCAGGAACTGCCCCTGAGGCTCTGTGTCTGTTCCTCCTCCACCACAACACCTCTCTGGTCCCTCCCAGCCTTGACTTCCTCCCCCTGCGGGACCATCCTCACCCTGGGACACCCTGCAGTACCATCTCTCCAAATCACTGAGGCTGGAGCTCGATGATCTTTAATGTCCCTCCCAATTTAAGCCATTCTATGATTCTACGACCTCCTCCCAGATCCTCTCCTGCCCTGGCCCTCCTAGAACTGCCCCTTCCTTGGTCCTCTGTCCCCTCTGGGCCACCTCCCCCAGAGAACCTCTTCCATGGAGAGCATCTTCCCCATTGCCACCTCTCCTATCCCTGCTTACCTGGCCCTTCTCCCCCAGGCCACCTCCTGGACAACTTCCCCATGGTCACCATCCCTTAATCTCCTCCCCTGGGCCATCCTCCTTTGGATCACCTCCACATGAACCTTCCCTGGACAACCCTTCCCTGGGCCTCCATGGCCTCCAAATGGACAACCAACACTCCTTGGATAGCAGGGCCACTTCATGCCCAGAGCTCAGCCAACCCAGGGCTCCCTCCAAGACCCCCAACCTGCAGATCTGGGGAGCGAGAGAGAACCTCAGCACTGCACCTTTTAAAACTCCTGAATCCAAGTTTTATTACCGTGTAGGGGAAGAGGGGGGTCACTCACAATATATTGCTCGAAAAGAAATACATTCAACAGCATTTACAGTAGAATGACATTAAAATCCTTTGGTGGGGAGTATGGGGGGAAACAGAAAGACCAGGAGATGGTGCTCAGATGAAGTGTTGCCGCTCGGTGATCTCTGAAAGATACCACAAGTTTTAAAATTAGCCTAAAAAAGGGGGGGGGGGATTTGAGTTGTTAGGGTGCTCCTCACACTCCCCAGGCTCTGCTAAGCTGTGCAGTGTCTGTAACAGTGATCCTGGGAGAGACACGGCAAGGGGAGGGGGGGGAACAGAGGACAGGAGCTTGCAGTGTCCCACCTGTAGGACATGGTGCCAACAGTCCCTGAGCAATGTCACCCTGCATCCTGGGGACACGGGGCTCCAGCTCTGGGACATTCTGGGGTGCAGAGGCTGCTCACCTTTCCCAGCTCTCTTGCACTGATAAAAAATAAAAATAAAAAAAAAGAAGAAGAATATAAGGCATTATTCAGGTGGGAGCATCTCCAATGCAGATCTGTGTGCCCTGGGGCTGGATGTGGCACAGCTGGAGTCAGCTGCATTCAAGCAGCTAACACACAGCAGCTTTCAGAGCTTTGGAGCAAAATGTCACTTCTCCACTTTGGGAATGAATCACCATCACCCCTACACACCCTGCCTGGGGATGGGCCCAGGGAAGCACTTATCCTCGTGCTACAAAAACTCAGACAGATACATCTGTCTTCATCATTTTTCATCTATTGTGTACCATAGAAATTTAAGCAAAATAATTTTTTTTATATATTTATATATATATATATATATAAATTAGAAGCAAATAAATAAGATTTAGGGACACGTTGAGATCAGTGGGTGTTGCCACTCCAATAGCCACTCACTACTGTTATGCCATACAAGGTCTATGTATACTGTACACACAGGTTTGCTGCAGGCAGCAGGTGCTGGAAGAGAAGCCAACCAGGAGGAGACTGATGGTGGAGGAACCTGATTGCATAAGTGTTCCGTGGGTTTCGCAGTTCCCATTGCCTCAAAGTTCATTATTGCTAATTATCTTCTGATGGGGATGTGGAAGTCCAGCTACAGGTGGCCCATGGGAGGGAGCACTCAGTACGGTGTGATAAAGACCCAGAGAAAAATGAAATGCAGGTGTGCAGGTTTCTGGTTCCCTCTGTCGTGGTGGGACGTCACCTCTTGGGTCCTCCCTCTCCGTACCAGCAGCACCACAGTCATGGAAACAAAGCAGGTCATCAGCTGAAACATCCTGATGGGTGTGATGGGGACAGCTGTAGGAACCACCCGCAGCCTCCAGCAACAGCCACAGCCCCTGCTATTTTCTGGGCAGAGATTCACAGCTGGTTTTGTTTGTTTTTGAAAGAATCTGACCCAAGAACAGAACTTCTTTTCAACAAATGGGGGAAAAGATGCCAAAAGAAAGAGCTCACACAAATGCACGGCATCCCACGGCGCGAGCATCTTTGGAAGTTGTTGTCTCAGCCGATACAGCCGAGGTGCTGAAAGATACAGGCAGCAGCTCCTGACAGCAATGAATACTTTAGGCTAAAAACAAACCAGAGCCACGTGTCCTCTTTCCTAATTAGTAGCTGAAAAAGCCACCATTTAAAAAAAAAAAAAAAAGAAAGAAAAAAAGATGCTATTTATTAGTGCATAAAAAAATAGGTTTGGAATCCCTGTTTAGATTCTCTTTGTCAAATTTCTCCCTGTGTGTGTGTTTATTTGCACTGTCAAGCACTGGCAGGATGCTGCCGTGTGTCCTCGCCGTCCCTCCATCTGTCTGTCCTGCTGCAGGCTGGCCACACCAGAGCAAACACGGCAGCTCAGAAGATATCAGGGCACAAGCTCCAGTCCTGCTTGTCCTTGGCCTCCCAGTAGCCGCCTTTGTAGGTGCAGATCAGCTCCCCTGTGATGGGATCCACCTTCCGCTCAAACCACAGTGGGATGTAGCCCTCGTAGTCCTTGCCTGCATGGGGAGAAGGGATGAAGATGAGGTTGGGTATGGGGAAAAAGTGGTCAGCTATTGGAATGGGCTGCTCAGGGAGGTGGTGGAGTCACAGTCCCTGGAGGTGTTTGACAAATGTGGAGATGGAATCACAGAATCATTAAGGTTGGAAAAGACCACTGAGGTCATCCAGCCCAACCATCAGCCCATCTCCACCTCAACGCTCAAAATGATGTGGCACGAAGGGACATCGCTTAGTGGGCATGGTAATGATGGGTTGGCAGTTGGACTTGGTGATCTTAGAGGTCCTTTCCAACATGAATGGCTCTATGATTCTACAAATGGGCACGGTGGGGATGGGTTGGTGGTTGGACTTCATCTTGGAGGTCTATTCCAACCTTAACAATTCTAGGATTCTAGGACTCAACAATTCCATGATGAGCAGCCTGTCCTTCCTCCCCAACCCTACAAGGTTTCCCTGCAGCCCCTCATTCTCCACCCCACAACATCCCACCTTCCTCCAGGGCCTCCACAGCCTCAGCCTCCCTCCTGCGGCGCACAGCCCTCTGCTTCTCCTCCAGCCTCTGCTTCTCCACGTTGGCCTCATCCCAGCGGCCGCTCTCCATCAGCCTCTGGTCGGGACGCAGCCGGCTGTCCGTGGGAGCCACGCGTTCCTCAGGCTCATTCAGGGTGAGGGCCAGGCTGGAGAAGAAGTACATGTTCTCGGCGTTCTCCCTGCAGATACACAGACCTGATGAGGACCACAAACAGGGCTCCCATCCCTTCAGGTGCTTGTCTCTCACGCCAGCCCTCCAAAAACACTATACCTGTTATTCTGATCCCCAAAACCACCCTTAAGGAGCTCTGCACCCCACTCTATAAGTGGAAATGGTGCCTTCAGGAGGCTAGGAGGAGATGCCAATGATGCCTGCAGGGGTTCAGGGGAAGCACAGATTCGTTGGTTTGATATGGAGAAACTAAAAGCAAAGCCAGCGTGGGGACAACATCACTCCCTGCCACAGCCAGCAAAGCAGAACTCCAACCCAAGGAGCATGCCAGACACACAGCAAGCAACACCACAGGATGGGACTCACGGGAGGGGGTACTTCTTCCACAAGACCTTTGGGGACAGTGTCTGGTAGACAGTTTTCTGTTTGCCCTCGGAGCCAGCGCTGCCATGGCTGCTCTGCACGATCTTGGAGCACTCCATCTTTTCATCCCATGTGCCCGACATGACATAATGGGCTTTGCCATCAGCATCACTCACCACCCCTGTCACCTGGCAGGAGAGACAGCAGTGTAAGAGATGGCTTTGGTGGCTTCTGAAAGCATCCAGAGCCTTCTAGGAGTGAAATGCAGTGACTCAAGTGGTGCTCTGTATCCTCAGACATAAGGACAGAACCCAGCAAGGTCCCCTCCTGACACAGCCCCTCTGCTCTCCACCCTCATCCTCCCCAGTGCCATACACAGGTCCCAGCTGTCAGCTCTGTCCCCAGCCCCCACCTGCAAGGACCTGTGGCACACTGAGTTGCTGGTGCAGCTCCGCAGCCCCATGCTGGCTGCATCCCACCCCAGCGCCAGGACCCCATGAGCCCAGCTGGGAGAACAGAACCCAGCTGAGAGGGCAAAGCCAGGCCAGAAGAAAAAGCAGGGAGATTTTTGGCTACGTACCTTTCGGGGGACATCCCTGGAGAAGTAGCTGTAGGGGGTAAATTTCAGCTGGCATTTATCTTTTGACTTATGGTTAACAATCTCTATTTCACCAGACTAGATAAAAGACACAGAATCACAGCAAGTGAGAGACTTTGCAAGGAGACAAATGAGCCATTAGTCGTCATTTGTGCAGCTGCACATCAACCTCAGTGCAGAACTACATCTGCTCCCCACTCCATCCCCTCCAGCCCCATGGCACGATGGGCCCAAGTAAAACACCCCACGCCAGACCTGGCCCCACACTGCCCAGTTCCCCAAAGAGCCCATATGCACTGACCTGGTCAATCCAAAGCTTGCCCACGATGATATTGTGAACAGTGGAAGTGACTTTCCTCCAGACGTAGTGATTCCCACTGGAGTGAAACTCGAGGTGGATGGCACCTGTGGAAAGCCTGGGCTCAGGGTGGGGACAGGATGGGTGCCCAAGCACAAAGCACCTCCAATGCCTGCCTTCTGTCCTCTAAAAGCTTTCATTTTGAAAGCCCATGGGGAAATGCTGCTTGGCTCTCAGTGTCATAGGATGTGGCACAAGCGAGCTCTCATCCCCTTGGCCAGGTCACCTACCCAGAGGCATGATGGAGAGGTATTTGCCCCTGAACTTGCTGGCGATGGTGATCTCCTGCCACAGCGTCCAGCCTCGCTTGGAGAAGACGTGGTGGGCAGCTGCTGGGGGGTGGTGGCTCACCTGGGAGGGAGAAAGGACAGCCCATCAAATGCTGGCCCTATCCAGTGCTCAGTCATCGCTGCAGAACCCAAAAAGAGGTGATAGCTTTGGTCCCAAGGATGCTCAGAGGCTGAGCCTGCAGCTTGTCCAGCACTGCAGTGCCTTCCCATGGACACAGACAGAAGAAGCAGATGTGGCTGCAGCACAGCCCACCTGGTGGCTCCAGGGACACCACTCGAGCACTGCCCCTTGGAAGGAGTACGTAAGCCACTGTGTTCAGAGGTCCTTTGCACCAGGGTAATTACAGCCTGAGTGCCCCGAGCAACTGGATTACAACCGTGAGCAGAGCCAAAACCTCTCCATTAAATCCCACTGTCACTGGCAGGAGAAAATCCTATTTGGATAAATGGATTTCAGGCACTGGATTACCAATGCCTCACTCAGCATGTCAGTGGGCCAAGGGATGTTCAGAGCCATGGGAACAACATCCGTCTGTCTGTCCATCTATCCATCCCACAGTGCCAGCACAACCCAGGGCAGCACACACTGACTGCACCACCAACACTGGGCTGCTTCAGGCCTGCCCGCAGTCTGCCCTTTGACACAGGGCCAGGATTTAGGCAGATTTAGAGGCTCTGCTCACGGATCAAATGCTCCAGAGTGCTGCAACAGAGTTGTTTTGCTCTGAGTTACGGCAAACTGAATTTTGGATGAACCTCTCCAGTCCCCACTATGCATCAGCACCCAAAACTCACGTACTCATACACCTAAGGCAGCTGGAACAGGCACATAGAAGAGTCAGAAATACCTACAAGTAGGGTCAGCAGGGATATAAATCCTGGAGGTCACCTACCAAAGCACCTTTACTCACATGATAGCTCTCACTGGCACAGAGGGGCACAATGTGACCTAGAGCCTGCTCCACATCTGGACTAGCAGCAAAACTCTTTCCACACATTGTACCCTTCTGAGGAGCTATCTAGGCTGCCTCCCCTGATCAAAAAAGGTTCCTGCCTCCCTCTGAACAAGGTGCAGCATTTCCAGAGCACTGCCAGAGACCGGGCACCTGGAGGACACAGTTTACAAGCACAGCCCCACAGAACAGCTAACACACAGCCCTCACCCCATGGGTCTCAGTGCCAATTGGCACTGCAGGTCTTGAGTCTACATTGGTTTCTGCAGTGTCAGAGGCCTATGGGTTTGTTCCTGAGTGCTGGGAAACGTGATGGTCACTCTGTCTCTGGAACAGCACAGCAACCTCCTGGGCTCCCTCCCCCCCAAAATGATGTCCTGCCTACAGTGGCGATAAACAGCCCTGTCCATCCCCAGGAGAATGGGAAGCACCAGCTGAGCATGCTATGCTTTAAAGAGCCAATTTCCTTCCAAAGTCTCAACCCATTAAGCTCCCCAGGTTTTTAATTAAGACCTGCTGGTTGATAGATGAGCATCAGATGTACTCTGTGATTAGCACACAGGGATGCTGGAGGTTCTCAGGTTGCCACCAAGCTTGGAAATTACAACTTTGCAATATAACAAGAAAGAAACAAGATCTTCAGGCTCCATCCAGCCATGAAGTGAACCGAAACAAGGAGATGCTGCATCTCCTACACAAAAGGGCTGCTTTGGCCAGCCACAAAGAGCAGGACAGGCACACAGAGCCCTTCTGCACAGCTCACCTGCTCACACAGGGAACGGAAGCCCAGCTCCTCCAGCCTGTCGAGCTCATAGGTTTCCCCCAGCAGTGGATTGAACGGCTTCGCTGTGCGGTGCACCGTCGTCGAGTAGGAAGACACCGAAAAGGCTGCCACGAAACACATCTGTTCTGTGGAGCTCTCACACTTGACTGCTTTGTCCAGCAGCTCGTGGTATTCCAGGTCCTCTGTCAGCCGCTGCAGCATGGAGAGTGGCTCATTGAAGTTCACCTGCAGAGAGAAGAGTGGTGGTCAGTAAAGCAGGATGGATGCCAGCTGGGCACTCCAGCACCACATCCCGATGCGCTGTGACACAGGGCTGGATGTGGCAGGGAGCTCTGCACAAGCACTGCCTCTGCAGCATCGAGTAAATGTTAAATAAAACAAGAAACTCACACTATAACGTGCTCCTTGAACCATAGCACAAGTGCCTGAGGGCTCTGGAGTGGCCCAGCTGGGCTGAGCTGGGAACAGCCGGGCTGGGAGCTGGCAGCCCATGAGCTAACCCAACACTGTGGCAGGTCATACATGCCCCAAACCCCTGAATGACCCTGAGTAGTGAGCCCAGTTCCCTGCTGGGAACGTCCCTGAGCACCTCCATCCCTCAGCCCAGTGACTGACACAACCTTAAACTCCCGTTTAGGGGCACTGACAAAAGCCACACAACACAGAGCAATGGGCAGAGGGACAGCCCTGTCCCAGGGGAAGCCTCAGCTCACCTTATTTCCAGCCCTAAATCGTAGCTTTGTTAATTAGAGATGTTTGCATTACACTGCCCAAACCATTGCTGCAAATGTCTTTGGGAAAAAAATAAGTGCTTGATTTCAGCAATTCTTTGTATCAGAAACAAGTGAAATCATAAAAAAAAAAAGGACAAGTGAGATATTTTCTGTTGCATGAGTGGAAAGTCTTTTGTCTCCAAACCATCTGAAATTCCCTTTTTGCTTCCAGTTCACAACAAAAATTCTATTTTGGAATGAGCAGATGGCTGAAGGATGGGAGAACCACTTCCATAAGCCAAGTTACATGTTTTATATTAAAGAAAACAAACTCCAGACTGTTCCACTCTGGGATTTAGTCTGTAAGCAGGAGGGATCTTACAGCATCCAAGAAAGGCAGTTATGTAGCAAGGGCAGCAAAGCATCCACCAAGAAGCACAGCAGTGCCAGCTCAGCAGAACCTCGGGAGAGATGTAGGCAGCTCAACAACAAAGCAGCAGCTGCATCCCACTCCAGCACTGTCACACAGCAAAACCTTCCAGCAGAGGGATGAAGATGATCTCCTCCCAAATAATGCAATGTTCATTCATTCAAATGAAGGAAGGCAGTGTGTGCACGGGGAGGTTTTCCATGCATCACGTCCCCTGGGACATGCAGCCATGCATTGCTGCCAGGCTGTGACTGCTCTGGTGGGTTTGAATGTGAGGAAAGGTAGAGCTTTCTTCTCTCAGCACCACAGCTGTCAGTATTTCACATCCTGAACTGTTTTCTGTACCCATCATGTCCTTATCTAATCTCGATGCTGTTGCAGCAATGCTAACTGACAGTGCTGGGCTGCAGCTCTCAGCTGGCAACAGCACAAGGAAGGGACAAACTCACCTTCAAGTGTGTCAGGTACCATTCTAAGACATAAAATCTATTCTCCTGTGCTTGCCAGGACGTGGCAGGCTCTGGGGAAATGAATTACTTGCAGTGGCACCCATGCCATTTATTGGGCCTGCAAATGATCCATGAGCCTGGACAGGGCTGGTGTGCTCTGAAAATTGCTTTCTGTTACAGTTTTGAGAGAGGTTTGCTACAGGCAGTGTTAGGTCTGGGTGGGTAGCAACCAGCACAGCCCACTCCAGGTATAAACCAGCAGTAGGATACCCCTGCACTCACAGAGGATGAGAAGTTACACATTTCTAGACTAATAACAGCAGGGATTTCTCCTCCACTTTTCCAAATAGCAAGGTCCTCTTGTCCTGAGTGAAACACTTCCATCTGCAGAGATTCCAGGTGCCCTGGTTCCTCTTCCTCCCTGGGTTTGCAGATGCTCAGGCAATGCCCCCAGCTCCAGGGTGCACCCCACAAGCACTCTGTGGCCCTCTACAGCCAGCATAGGAGCAGAAATCAGCCCCAAAGAAAGAGCCAGCCTGATGCAGACAACCCCTAATGCAACAGCCACAACATCAAAGCCATTTACCACAAAGCAATTAGCAGCACAACTCCGTGCTGAGCATCCTCTTGCCTAGCTGCTTGAGCTTTCTGCCTGTGCTGGCTCTTTAGAGCACTGGACAACTCAAATTAATGGCAGCCAGACCCCAGCCTGGGTTTGCCACACGGTGACACATTCTCTCTCCTTCTCAAAGGCTGCTGCAGCACCTGCAGGACTACCTGGAGCAGTAACCTAAATGCTCTGCACTGAACCAAACCCTGAGGTCAGCACCTTCAGCATGGCAGCAACACCCCTGGGGCTCACTTACAGGCATGGGGATCTTGGAGAGCTCTTTGCCAATGCAGTTCTTCATGATGCTCCAGAGGTTAAGGCTGTAGTTGGGTTTGTCAGGGATGCGGCTCCGTCTCCTTTTCCTCGGCAGGAGATCTTTGCAGGACTCATTGTAGCTGCTTTGATTTGAGCTTTCAAATACCTGCAAAAGCAAGAGGAGGAGCATGGGTCTCACCCAGCACGGCCAAGGACCCAGGTGGAATCCTAGAGCCATTTCATCTCACTGGACATCCCACCCACTCTGCCCAACTCACGCTGTCCTCCAGGTTCCAGTCCTCAGGGTGGCCCTCGCTGGCCCCGCTCAGGTTACTGCCCGAACGCCTGCAGGGACAAAGAGCCACCTGGTGAAGGTGGGAACAGCAGTGCAGTACAGCCACTACCACTCAGGTGCTGTCCCAAAGCTAAGCACAACACCCAACAGGCAGTCTTTCCCATGCTTTTCCCATGAGTTTCACCAAACCCTAAGGCTGCAGCTCGTACCTGTGGTGCTTGGGGTCTGCGGTTACAGTGATAAAAGCTGGTGCATCCTCCATGGCATCAAAATACTCCGTCTCTTCATCTTCATCACTGGCTTCTCCTTTGGCAGACTGCACGCTCCCTGGTGGCACAAAGGGGTTGAGATGCTCCTTGTCTCCTGCTCTGTTCTTTCTTATTGCCAGGAAGCCAAAAGCCTGAGCCACGTGCACACCACAGACACCAAACACAAGGGGAGACGTGGCACTGCCCCCTGGGCACAGCCTCATCGCAGGTACCAGCTTCAGTACTCTGCCACACAGTCTCTATTCCAGCAGCTAGGATGGCACAGAGCTGACCACCTCTGAAATATCCATTCCCACAGCTCCTGCAGCTATTTCATATTAAACCACAACCTTACGAGGTGGGCAACTTCCCACATCGCAGAGCTGTGGGTGGTGGTACTGCTCCAGCAATGGGAATGGTGCGACCATCTGTGTGTCCTGCAGGGCTGTGTGCAGCACCAGGAGGGAACCTCCAGCTCCATCCCCATCCGTGCTGCACCCCATGCTGCTGAGCAACCTGCAGGCAGGACACAGCCACCTCCTTGTCCCTGTGTCCATCTGAAGGAGCAAGGATGCCCGCTGTGACGGGCTCAGGTTGCTGCTGTGCCTGCCCCTATACCAGGCACTACTCTCCAACAGCTCACTGCTCCCTTAAGCCCACACGTTCTTTTAAAATAAGACACAGCTCTACACGCAGCTTTTGGCCACCAGGCTGTAACAAATGCCTCCTGCAGGGATGAACATTTGGCACTGCTATCCAAAGCCATTTGATTTTACTGTCCGATAAATAACTTTTGCAAGCAGCAAATGAGTCCTAGTTGGGAACATGAGCCACACTGCAGCTGTGAACTCAGCAGCATTTGGGGATTCCTGGGTTTCCTCCAAACACCACGGCCCTGTTAGCAGGGATAAGATTTGAAACAGCACAAGCAAGCCATGGTTTGGGGGTGCAGCACTCTCACAGAGAGCACTGCCCATGCCTGCTCCCCATCCCCACCCATTGGGCTCACCCTTGGCGGTGCCGGTGCTGCCTGCGCTGCCCGGTGCCCCACGGCAGGCTCTCTCCAAGCTGTTGTGCTGCTTGGCTAGCTGCTCGATGGTCTCCTCCAGCCGGATCCGCTGCTCCCGCTCATACTGCAGTGCCCGATGCCATTTTCGGCTGTGAGTTTCTGCTAAGTCCAGGAAATCACGGCAAGCCTGCAGGGGAGGAAGGGAGAAATCAGCTGAGAGAACTGTGAGCCCGAAGCTTTGCAGGATTCCCACGTCCTTGGGGCTAGGAAAAACATTCCCAAAGTTGGAGAGCCCCGATTGAGCTCATACAGCTCATTCACTCCCATCCTGGAGAAGTCAGGCAGGACAGCAGGTGACATCCCCAGAGCCCTCCTGTCCCCACCACAGGCCCTTTTCCAGGGAATGGGACCCACCAGACACAGGGATATGGACAGATACACCGAGCACGAGAGCCCATGGGATGCTGTGTGCATCCCAGTACCGTGCCTCCCCCGTGCACAGGGCGTGCACTGGGACATCTCCATGTGCAGGATGTGCAATGGGACATTTCCATGCACAGGATGTCCGCTCAGCACAGGGACACTGCCAGGAGCTGCATGTCCTATGTCTGAACCTTCCAAGCTCTATTTGTAGGTTATTTTTGTATCAGGTTGGGGCAGTGAGCCTCCTCAGCACAGCTGCTTCCCGTGTGATCAGCCCCAGGTTAAGCACAGGGGCAGGGCTGCTCCTTCTCTTCCCTCCCCTAAATCTCTGCGACTCAGTACCCATTAAACTTCTTGCACTGAGAAGCAGGGAGATGGCACCTGAATGCTGAGTTATTTCCCAGCCATGCAACATCAGGGTTTTGGCTTTTGTAATGTGAATAGATTCTAAAAGGGTTTATCCAAGAAAAGCTCTGACTCATCAGGTTCTTTCAAACCTTTGGCCAGGAGCTAGATTTGAGTCTCAGCCAGGGGAAGTTTTTTGCTTAACACCACGAGAAACAACGCAGCAAAATGCTGCAGGCAAGCAGCACAGAGCAGCAGCTTTCAGGTTTTCCATTCCCATTTCTGACTTTAGGAAGCACTGCTGAGATCTGCACCAACCTGAGCTCCAACCACGCAGGTCCCCATTCCCTTGTTACACCACACCAGGCACCCCGTGCCCTAATGCCCCGAATGCCTTCACACCCAGCTGCAGGCTGGAACCTTCCCAAGAAAATCTCTTGTTCCTCCATGAGCTTTCCTCCCAGCACCCATTCAAACTAAGCCATGTGGAGCTGGCAGGCTCGCCTCTCCTATTACGCTGATGCATTGCAATAAGAGGATGAAAGCAGAAGGGTAAGTAATCAGATAGCAGCGTGACCTTCCACACCCAGCAAAGCTTATTACCTGCTCTGAAGGTCTCCGTCCCGACCCCAAACACCCATTTAGTGCTGCTGGCTGGCACCAGCATGGGCAGTGCCAGCTGTCCCAGCTCCAGGGGCTTTGAAACGATGCTCTGGCAGCAGCCTGCAGTGGCTGAGCACTGATTTTAAGGTGGCGACGGGAAATGGAATGTTTGGGGTGTGACAGGAAATGACAGGAACAGGAGATGGGCCCTCCTGAGCTGAAGTGGCTGAAGGAGAAATCCCAGGACCCATGCATGGTGTTGGTGTCCCAAAGAAAAGCACCTTGGCTCCTCCTGGCCCTTTATCAGTGGTTGGGCTTTCCTCACCTTCACTGATGATAAGGGGACGTGCCGGTGCCATTCCAGGGCAGCTCCCTGTGAAGCACCAACCAGCAGCACACCCATGCTGATCTCTCCCCAGGACAAAGAAGCACACACAAAGCGCTGTGTTCTGATGGTCTCTGGGGCTGCAGCCCTCCTCAGCTGTCAGATGCAATTATTAAAGCCCTGCTCGCTGCTGCCTTCCATCAAAGGATGTGGCACGGCTTCTTTCATGCAGTTAAAGCTGCAAAAAACCCAAAGAGCTGCACCTTCCCCTTCCACATCTTCCTCTTCCAGTCAGCTGTCTCCAAGCCCTTGGGCACGCTGTGGTGGCACGCTGCTGCTCAGCATAGGGACATGAAGGTCCTTGCTGCTTTGGGACAGCATCATCCCTCGATGGCATCCATCCTGGTGCTTTCTGCAGGGCTGGTGCTGCTGCAGAGCTGCAGCTGCTGTGTGCTTTGCAAATGACTCCAGGAAAGAACACGTCTGTGTGCACAAAAATTCTCTGAAGCGCAGCCAACGGGAAGCAGCACCAGAGCCAGGAGGAGCTGTCCTCACCCTGCAGACAGCACTGAGCAACCACAGTGACACAGACAGGCCCCAGCCCCAGGGGTTCATATCCCAGAGCTGAGAGAAGAGCTGGGGCTGCAGCTCAGCCTGTCCTTCCTCGCAGGCAAGGCACCATCACAGCAGTGCCATATTGCCTCATGGACCTGCCCCATTCACACCAGCAGTGCCCAAGACTCCATCCATGCTCCAGCCACCCTAAAACAACACCCAGAGCAATGCTGTACAGCCCCAATATGGGATGTGTCCCACTCCCAGCCTACCTCAAAGTGGCAGTGGCAATGCTGGCAGGCAGCCTGCAGCATCCATGTCACTATCCATGCATTGCTGCTTCCCGTGCTGGTTGGTGGCTGTCACCTCATCCCCAGCAGTGACAAAGCTCTGTGGAGCTGTCACTTGCAAGGATGTGGCCGAGGACAAAGTGGTGGCCCTGTCACTGATGCCCCCTCAGGCCAATCCTGGTGTGGGTCACCACCCCTTCATTTCACTCCAAAGGTGCAGACAACCACAGCCGTAGCGCCTTTGTAGGAGCAACGCAGAGAAATCCAGCTTATAAAACCCTTATGGGGTGGCAGCTAAATTTAACCTGAGCTGGATTGCAAGCAAGACAGAGCTGTAAATCCATACGGTGCAGGGAGAACAGCCGTCCTCAGGGCCATCCTTGGGGATGTCAGCAAGTGAGAGGCCCCCCAGCAGGGCAAGGGCACACAGCAAAGCCATCCTATAGATAACAGAGACATGCACATCATGCCCCATACAGTGGGAGATTGCTTTGGGTCCTTCAGATTAGAGGGAATATGGGATAGGGCACAGCATCCAGCCTGGCTTTGGGTGAGGCAGCTGGAAAATAGGGAAGAAGGAAATGGGAGGAGGGGGGCAGGGAAGGAGGCTGTGGAGTCACCTCCGAGCAGCCCAGAGGTTCACTGTCCATTGCCCAGCCCTTCTGGCACATCACCAGTGAGCATAGATGGCAGCGAGCCCTGCAGTGCAGGCACAAGGTCCTGGGGAGCCCACCAACACCTGTAGGCAGATGACAGAGGGCTGCAGAGCTCTTCTCTCCAAGATTATGCATCAGCTCTGGGCAACAGGGCTGCAAATGCCATCAGAATACAGTGGCACAAGGTGGCTTTGTGGCACAGCAACTCCAAGGCTCCTGCAGATCCCAGTACAGGGAGACACAGGGTGTCACAGAGACCCCCCTGGGACAGACAGACCTAGCAGCATTCACACTCTCATTGCAACATCAGACTGCACAGCTTGCTGCAGACTAATGAGAACGTTATTAACATCCCACAGGTTACTGATGTGGCTGACAGCGATGACCCGGTGTCTGCTTAAAGACTGATGAGGTGACAGTGTCACACACCTTGAGGGCAGCGATGAGCCACGCAGAACACACAGATGAAGTGAATCAGCACAGATGCACCCAGGTGAACCATCACATCAGGCTCTGCACCTCAGAAGCCCCATCAAGCAGAGCTGCCCCCAGCACCAACCATACAGCCTGATGATGGATGCCAAGGGACTGTGCTTAAAACTGCACAGGGTCCTGCAGGAACAGCCCCATGGGACTGCTCCATCACCCAGCGTGGGAGAAGGGAACAGCCAGATGCACCCCATCATCTCCTTTTCAAAGGTGCATTATGCAGCAAGGGCTGTTTCTTCATTCATCACAGGAAAGAACATCCTGCTGCTCTGCACGCTCCTGGTGCTGCGTAGATAAGTGCTCCCTTCCTTCCTGGACTCGTCAAAAGGCAGGGACACAGCTGTGCTGCTGCTTAGCAGAAAATATCCCAAGGGAAGGGCCATTTCTGATCCTCTTTTTAGCTCAGAACACATTAACACCACGTCAGTGCTCCGGTCACACAGTACAACACAAAATGTAGCAGTTTGCACTGAGAACAGCGAGATGCATATGGAATTTGAACCAGGAGAGGGTTTATTTTTCTCTTCATCCCCAGTGGATGGAAGAAAGCAAAAGGGGAAATGCAAGGAACGCAGGACGGAGCTGGTCTCAGCCCCACATCAGCTCACACACAGCTGGATGGCAAGGATGGTGAGCACAGCACCCACAGCCAGGGCACACAAAGCAGCAATGTAGGGGAACGTCCAGAGCTGCACAGATGGCTGAAACGCCAGCAAATCCCTGCAGAGCCCTTGGGGTGACCCCAGCTGCTCAGCAGCATCCTGAAAGGAGGACACGGGTACGCCAAGAGCCACTGCTACCCAGCACAGGGCTGCGAGAAGGGAGCTGTGAAGTGCAGGGCTCAGCTCAGAGCACCACCAAAAATAACAGTGCACAGGCACGGGGAAGCTCATTAATGCCTCAATGTGGAGACACGGATCAGAGCTGCTCCAGCCCACACCTCAGTACACAGCATGGAGAACCCAACGTTCTTCCCAGGTGCTCCCTACAGGGTGGCACACAGCAGGGCCCTGCCAGCACCCAGCCCTATTGCTGCACCCAAACCTTGCTGTGGGGACTTGTTAAAGCAGCCCCCATGAGGGCTGGCTGCAGGGATCCTGTCCCACAGTCACAGAAGCTTTAGCCAAGTGCCAGGGTGAAGCCCCCACAGCAACCCCAGCCCCTCTCCCAGCAGCTGGGACCATGTAATCCAGCCCTTACAGGGGATTAGAGTGGGGACAGCAGCAAATCCCCCAGTGTGGTTGGGCTCCTATAATCCCTCCAGCCCAACAGCCACACTCAGTAGGATGAGGAGCAGCCCACCAGTGATGCTGGGACGCATGGCAACTCCTGCTCCTTTGGAGCCCCAGAGCAGCACACTGCTCCCTAGCACCGTCCCAGCTCTGCCAAAGGACCTGGGTGCAGATCTCCAATTCCAGGTTTGCACTGCCATCCTAGCAGCATGAATGTCTTTACAGGTAACTGGAGAGCCAGGCTGTTAGTAGCACGCTGCTACTCCAGCCCTTGCCTTTGGTGAAATGTTGTAGGGGAAGGAATGGGATTTGTGTGCAGGCTTTTAGCAGTGCAGATCACCCCAGATCCTTGGCCACAGCCTCCTTGCCTGCCCGGGGATTAGGGCTGGGTTGGAGATTTAATCCCAAAGCTGTGGGTTTTCTGGGTCGATGACATGGTTTCCTATGCACTGATCGGAGCACGTGAGGTGCAGCACAGCTAACTAACCCAGGCCATGCAAGGATGGGCTCCGAGAGCAAAATCAGCACGTGTGATGCTCCTCCAGCCCTATGGATGTACTGGGAGTGCTGTGCATACTGGGAGAGAACAGAAGGGAGGTGAGATCCATGTTCCTGCTGTGTTTAGGAGCCCGCTCCTGCAGTGGGTTTAGGGGACCCCTGTCAGCTTTAAGCAGTCCTGCAATCCAACATAGACACAGGCAAGGGTTAAGCTGTCCCTGCAGCCATTCACAACAGCGAGTGTGGTGCCACTGGGAGCACGTGCTGCACATCAGTCTGTTTTTAACAGTGAGGCCATTTTAGGAGCACAGATTAATCACAGCACCGTCCCGCAGGGACAGAGGATGCTCAGCACTGCATTAAAACACAGCAAATTTGGGCAGGACTGGAGCAGCCCATTCCCAGCCCTAAGGAACCACATCCTTCAGCGTGTCAGAGAGATACCAAGGCTGAACCCACCGTCCTCCCAGAGGGCTGTGGGATGCGCTCAGACAATGTCTTCAGGCTCCAGGAGGGCTGACAGTGCTCAAGGCAGCTCTGTTGCTGTGATTAAGAGAAATCCCAATGGGGAAAGCAGTCTGGCTTCTTGTAGGGACAGTCCTTTGGGTCCTGGTGACCATGCAAACCTCATCCCCAAACACACTCCCCTATGAAATCTCAGCATCTTCAGCCCCACAGCAAACCCTCACCCTTCTTGCAGAGCCTTCCTCTGCCTTTTCTCCTCCTGAGGCCAAGCTGCACCCAGACCTCAAGGCAGAACCCACCCCACAGTCATATGCAGCCAACTCTGCTGCTCCCGTTCACACCACAATCAAATACAGAAACTACAAAAAAAAAAAAAAAGAGGAAAAACGAAGACAGCGACACTCAGCACATGGCTCAGCCGCCTCTGCTTCGTTGTAGCAAAATCCATTCCCATTAAAACCCTATTTCCAGCAACACCCACAGCACGCCGAGCTCTTCCTGCCGCCCCAGCTAGCTCCCTTGCCACGTCCACGGGGCTGCTGCCTGCTGCCCAGCTCCAAGACGGAGCTTTTTGCACTCAGCCCACGCCGCTCTTCGTCTCCGCTCCTCTTATTAAGAGGATAATAATCCCCTTAATTAGTTTCTCCTTATTTTTACGCACCTCCCACTCCTCCCCCGTGGCAGATCGCTTGGCTGCGTCTCCTCTCGGATGCTCCTCAAGTCCCAGCGCCGTCGGGCTCGGCTCTGCCACGTGGCTCACCCGGTGCGTTATTACGCAAGGTTGCAAAATCAGGACAGGAGCAGAGCAAACGGGTGGCTGGCAGAGGGCTGGGAGCACATTTTGGGGGCTGCCCTGCTGCGTATCCAATCCTTTTGTGTCTGTACTTCACCCCTCGTGTGGGGACGGCAGGGTGAGGAAGAGGAGGATGAAGATCCCACCAGCAGAAGGGGGGCTGCAGGGAGCCCCCAGTGGCACGCACAGCACGTTTGCAGCACAGAGGTCACCTTAACAGGCAGCTGCTAGATTTCCATATGTATTTCCTTATTTCTACTTGCCTGCTGCTGCTCCCGGAGCATGGGGATATTTACATAATCCCATCGTACTGGATGGAAACAGGATGGGGATGCAGCACCACTTGTCACATGGGTCCCAAAATGGGGACGGACCCCACAGAGTTCTGGCCCATCAGAGGCATACTGAGTGATGGCAGGATATCCATGAGACAGAGTGCTCCCCTCTGCTGCCAGGAGATGGCTGGGTGCCATGGACTTGTTTGTAGGGACGCCCAACATTTCCTTACAGGTTTCAGTAGCTCTGTACTCTTGCAGCCACCCTAAGAGAGGCTGCTAGCAGGGCTTCAGCAGGTCACAGAGGGCAAAGCTCTGTGCTAACATGGCAAACCCAGGTGCAGAAATGCTCCTGGGGCTGCTACAAGACCCTCTAAACCCTCCATGGGGAGCCACAGAGCACCCCCAGGCAGCTCAGCCACAAGCTGATGTACTGCTCAAAAACCTCTGGTATCCAGAGCCTCTCATACTCTGTTGTGGGCTCACCATGCTGAGTTCCTCCCATGTTTTCCTCACTGTTTCAGTGCTGTTTCACACTGTCCAGATTGTCGAGCCCTGACTCAAGCCTTTATCATGCCACAACCACCACCACCTCCTCCTCCTCAGCACAGTCACAGCACACAGCAGGTACTGCCCTGCTCACCCTTCCCAAAACTCCTCTCCTGGCTGCTGCTGACACATCCCAATGGCAAACCCAGGCACACCGTGCCAACCCTGCTCCCAAAACTTCACCCAACTCCACACAGCTGCACAGGCACCCCCAAACACTGGCACAGGAAAGCCTCTCCCCAGCAAACACCCTCCAGCACCAGCACACAGCTGTTTGGAGGGGCATTCCTCCATGTACACGTAAGGTGGCACACCACCTCTGTTTTGCTCAGGGCTGGGACAGCTAAGCTCCCTTTACAATTCCCTGAGCTTTACCTTCATGCATTATTCTATGACTGTCAGGCTTCAATTAATTTTATTTTTTTTTTCTCCACCTTTAAATATTTTATTTCATTTTGTTCTCTCCCATTCCGTTTCCCTGGGAAAGGCAGCTCCACACCCCAGAAAGATGTACAAAAGCCCATTGTGAAGCACAGCAAAGAGGGGCTCCAGCAAAGCAGGGTTAAACCCCCATGGTGCAAAATGAGGGTGGCTTCATCAACATCAGTGAAGGTGCAAGCAACAAGGGGATGGGGGTCAGAACCCGCAGCATGCTCTGAATTGCTGGGTTGGCATGAAAGCCACCCCCAGGAATGGTCCAAAAAGCCCTCTGCACCCCAACCTCCAGATGTACCATGCTTCCCAACCAGATTTGGAGCAGCAAGCACGCTGTAAGGACTCAGCAGAGCCCCATCCCAGTCACCCCAAGGGTTGTCACCATGCTCACCACAGCCCTGAGCTGGGGCACGGGGAGGAGATGGGGCTGTGTGAGAGGGAAAGGCAATAGAAGAAAAGGAGAAGATGCCTCTCCCTCTGCCTCCATGCAAACGCGGCGACACTTACGTTGATCATAGCATTGGAGGTGATGCGGAAGAGCGTGGCTCGCTCATTCACAGCCTTGATCTTCTCGCCACTTTCAGCTGGCAGTTTCAGGTTCTCCAGCTCGCTGAGCGAGCGCTGCAGGGCTGCCCCGTGCTTGGCAATCAGGTCATTGCAAGTGCTCAGGTCCTCCAGCTTACTCGAGAGGGTTTTCAGCGTGCCGTGCAGCTCACTCTTGTCTGACTGTGAGGCGGGCTCCTCATCACCCGAGTCATCTGCAAAGGGAGGGATGGAGAAAAAAAAAAAAACAGTTTCCATGGTTACCCCTGGACTGTACCAGCGGGCAGGGGGACCTCCTGCCTCCTCCAGCACAGGCTAGGATGTGCCAGGGCAGAGGGAAGGGGCACCGAGCCCAGCCCTGACTTTCTGTTCACCCATCTCATCCTCTGCACGAGGATGCAGAGCATGGCACGAAGAACAATTTGGGATGGCATCCAAGGGTGTCCAGAGGGCTCCTTCCTCTGCCACTGGGATGCAGCACAGGGCTGCTCAGCCTGAGTGACAGAGTGACACAGGGTGAGCATTAGGGAAAGGTTCTGTACCAGAAGGCAGCGGGTATGGAACAGGCTCCCCAGGCAGTGGGCACAGCCCTGAGCTGCCAGAGCTCAGGAAGCACTAGGATATCATTCCCAGCCACAGGGGTTGGGTTTTGGGCACCCAGCCCCACAGCTGAGCCTTGCTCTGCCAGGTCCACTCTGTGCCAAGGAAAGGATAGTCTAAGAAACAGCATCTACTCCAAACCCTCCCCCTGGTTTGAGAGGGCAGAAAACCACAGTCAGAATCTCAGATACAACAGGAATGGTTACAGCTGCAACTCCAGAACACTTGGGTGATGAAAAACAGAAATCCAACCCAAAACAGAGCTGTGCATTCCTACAGACCACCTGGGCAGGGGGAGGGGAGGTTCCCAGGCTCAGTGTTGGTATTGTACATAGCAGGGCTGGCACAGGGAGTGCCCCATCTCCTGTGCACCCAGGCACGTGCTGGGTGTTCCTCCAAGGCCATTCAAGAAGAGCGGATCGAGACAAGGAGGCAGAGCCCACAGAAGGGCTTGTCCTACACAGCTCAAGGATGAGAAAGCAGAACAAAACTCTGGCAGAAGCCGGCAGCAATGAACCACAGAACCCTGAGATGGCTTGGATCGGAAGAAACCCTACTGACCATCTGGTTCCAACCCCTGCCATAAACAACAACAGTCCTGCTGCTCCAAGCACACAAGGATGGGGTCAGGGTAGGATTGAGGTGATTGGCAGAGGGAGAGGAGAGAGAAGATGAGGCTTGCAGGATGCATCCCACAGGGTGCACCAGGCTGGTGCTGTTGGTGTCTTGAACACGCCAGCTTCAACAGATCTAGAAGGAAAACTTCAGCCATCAGAAAGGAAAAGTAACCAGAACCTCCCAAAGATCAGCATTCTGTTTCAAGTGTTTCCAGCACTCCTGCAGTATCTGTCACCCTGGGGCACACAAGGCCACCCTGGTAACCTCTCTCTCTCTTCATTTGGTGACTGAGGGTGATTGCAGCCACCCTTCAGCAGCCAAACAGTGCCCTATATTCCCACCACAAGCACAATCCAATGGCCCCAGCCTGGTTTCCATCACAGACACCGTGCAGGCAGCTACCACCGTGACACCAAAGCCACCACTCCCTGTGTGTGACTGCAGGGAAAGAATCAAATTTGGCATTTTTCTGTGTGTAGACATGAGTGATGCTTCTCAAAGACAATCTTCCTTTATTTGCAGCTGCAAAAAAAATAGTGCTTTAGGAGCAGCGAGCAGCAGGAAGGATCTCTCTGCCTGCCCCAGGCAGCGTTTAACCCCAAATCCCCCTCTCCCATTTCATGCTGCCATGCAGAATTATATAAATACCCAGAAGGTGTTTCACTTTACTCGCAGAACAGCAAAATTTGGTTGTAATGAACTGAAATCAAAGCACAGAAGGAAGGAAACCCAAAGCTGTGGTTACAATCAAATCAGAGCGAGTTGAAGGAGAAATATTTGTGCAAAGCACCCGAAGCAGCTCCCACCCCTCCCAACACCCACAGCTCCCAGGATGGGCTCCCAGCCCTCCACCACGACCACTGGGACATCCCCATGTTACAGTGGGCAGAAAGGGATTGATGGAGCACCCGGGATCTCCTCAACCATCACTACTCTCCCTTCTGATGGTAAGGGGAGCTATCTGTGCCTCCCTAGCTCTGGGTAGCTTTAAGGACATAAAACCATCAGAAGGTGTCCAAAGGAGGGCTGTGGGATGGGGAAGGGTCAGAGCACAAGGTGTGTGAGGAGACGCTGAGGGCTCTCAGTTTGTTCAGCCCAGAGTCTTTCATTCTCTGTTTCCCACTTTGTTTTGACTTGCAAACAAACTTAAAGGAAATCTGTTTTGATTTTTATTTGTAGGGCACTGGTATGAACCAGTTGCTATAGGAACAGTGGGCCTCGCCGCAAGCCTGGAGGATTATTTTTGGAGCTGTGATGCTATTTAATCTATGTAAAATGGATCAGCAGCCAGTGGCCATAAGCCTCCTCAGGCTGCTTCCCAAACCCACAGCACACACCAGCCTTCAGAGCCCGGGGCAGCAGCTCACGAGGAGCTCAGCAAGGCAGATGCTCCCATTACATCCTCATTTTCTGCCTCTTGAACTTCCCTCAGCTAAACTCTGCTTGCAGCTTTTTCCCCCATGCTGGTGGAGAGCTGTGGGCTGGAGGAAGTGGCACTTCCCTGCATACAGCCCACAAGGACACTGGTGACACCAGAGGTGGCAGGTGAGCAGCTGGGGGCTGTGCCACTACAGCAACCCCATGTGCTGCTGCTCAGGTGCATTTTAATGTTTCTGTGGATGCATGGAGCTGGGAGAGCTGTTTAAGATGGACTATAAGAGGAAGCCATGGGATTGATGAGCTTTTATCCTAAAATTCCCAAAATGCATTCCCAACCCAGCAGTGATGTCCCTAACACAAGGGCACAAAGTTAATGCCCTGTGCCACCTCCTACCTTCCCCTTGGGGTCCAGCACAAAGGCTCTGCTCTAAATCCCTGACACCCCTTTGCCCCACAAGCAGAAACCATTCCCATCCCTGCATCCTCACTTCCAGAAAGACCCTTCCTTCCTACACCCCCTCCAACTTCTCTCCTTCCCACATCACCTTAAACTTCTCTCCATCCTGCATCCCCTCTAACTTTCCACCCAGCCTCTCCTGCAGCCCTGACCTGCTTGCCCCTTAAGGTTCCATTCAATAAATTCAATCTGGCTTCCTGCTCCAAGGCAGGGATGCAGACATGGGGCTGAGCAGGAGAGGTTCCTGAGACAAGCAGCCTGCACTGATCCCAGAAAGACACTGCTAAAGCACAGCAAAAGTTGCCACATGCAGACAGGCATCGCCCAGAGCATCACCAGGACTGGAAGCTCTGTGCCACAACTGCTTCCCCATGGGAAGTCAGTTTGTTCCTCAGACTGAGCTTGCTCTTCTCTCTCCATAGCTGGGAAGCTCCCAGATCCCTGAAGTGCACCTGGAAAACTACCTGCTCCACAGTCAGAGGGTTGCAGAAGCAGCCAACTCACAGCTTAGATTCCACCCTTGCCTTTCTTTATGAATTGCATCCAACCAACCCGTGCTTGATGCTCCCAGGACACCACCATCATCACGGATAATAAGGCTGCCTATAGAGAAGGCAGAGCTTCATCTCAGTGGGCCTGGATCTAACAAAGGTCAGTGTATGCCTTCCCACATACCTGCCCTAGGGGCTTCGTATGGAAATGCAAGAAAAACCCCACATTGATTTGGTCTGGAGCCTCTTCCAGGCAACATAAGGAAGGTCAATGGGACAAATAAGCACCAAACCCAACCTCTGCCAGGGATACCATGGGCAAAACCTATAGAAACGCCAACAGCACCTCCAGCAAACACCCACTGGTCCCTCTGGTGTTCTGCAGCCACCACCATGGACCTGGTTTGGGAACAAGAGCCTTTCCTACCAGGACCAGCTGCAGCACATGGACACTGATCACCAACCATTCCTCAACTGGAGCAATTTCCACAATGGCTCCAAAATCTTCATCCGCTTGCGTTGCTTTTAATAGCTATGAATATTAAATGGAAATGGGTATCTATATTTAATAGCTTCACCCAGCTGCCAAGAGGGATGAATTCCTACAGCATCTGCACAAGCAGACCCAGGCGGTGCTTTTTGCTTGTAAAGAATTACACTGGCAATTAATCATCAAAATAACAGAGCAAGTAGTCAGTCATAAATCGTTCCAAATTTGGGTGATCACTTTGCAATTATCACCAACCTGGCAAGGATATTTCTTCTACTGCTAATGCAAATGGAAAGCTGTTCAGGCCTTAAAATAGCAGATATTCACCAGCTGTGATGAGCTGTGACATCTCTATCTCATTCAGTGGGGATGACCCAAGGATGCAGCCCTGGGAGCAGGACCAGCACTCAGCTTGGGGCAGCACAGAACAGAACCAGAGCTTCCAGTCTGTCCCAGCAGATCCGCCTGAAATCCATTGGGATCATGGTGTGAAGCCAAATGCTCAGGTTATGCAGAAACTCAAACCTAAGGATTTCACAGATGTGACCTAACCTGGCCCAGGGTTGGGGCAGAGACCCCCAACTTAACCAATATTGCACCCTTACACCTCACCACGCTGAAATAAAGCAGGAAAGCGTATTCTTTGCTTCTGATCCCATCTCTTGGTTTCTGTAATTGTGGTTTCATTATAGCTCCAGTGCAACTGGCTGGAGCCAAACCTAAGTGAAGTGAGACTGTGACACGTTTCACTGCTTGCTTGGTTTTTCAGGTCAGTGAGCACCACGGGGACACAACTGCAAAATCTAAGAACAAGAAACTGAAGGGATAAGGAGCAGTTAAGTCAATGGCTTCACCCCTTACCCAGGACAAATTCCAGCTTGTGAGGCAAATGCACCCTGGTACAGGAATCTGAGGGAGCTGCAGACCCACAATGAAGGCAGCAGGGTTGATCCCACCAGGACAGCTCTTTGGAAGGAAGGATGCTGCAGAGGCGATTTCTTGCAAGCCATCAGAAGCTGATGCAATCAAGAAGGCCAACAGTCTCCAAATGAGGTTTGCTGTAGTGCCAGCAGAACTATTTACGCGACACAGAACCAAATTTCCCATAACCCAAAACAGATTTCATTTTTGGACTTCAATCTCCTTACTGCACAAGGCTACAGAGGTTCTGGCAGTGGA